CACTTCCTCGCTCAACATCCGACAAGCCAACTTCCAAACCTTCACCGCCGCCCTCGGTGGCATCGCCGCGACTCCAGTAACGAACTCAGGCAACGCAGACCGCCCGTTCCAGGTAAAGGGTGACACCTTTGTGAACGCTGGCGCTGCGCTGCAGAGGAGCTGCGATCAGCAGTTCAATGCGTGCGCAAACAAGGCCAATGGAGGAGATAAGACGTTGAGTGTGGCTCAGTGCTCGGCTCAGAAAGGTATTCTATTCTCTGCCGCATGGTGGGATGGAGATCGTTGAAAGATCGTTGGGCTAATTTGTGAATAGACCAGTGCGCTGCAAGTGTGAGCGCGAGCACGGCGGCTGCTCAGAGCGGTGCGCAGGCGGGTGGCAATGCAGGCGGAAATGCACAGCAAGGAAATGCTGGAAACAATGTTATCACATGCTCTTAGGCCGGAGCGGAAAGCCTTGCGGCTGATTTGTAGTGATAAATGACACGGTTGGAGAAACGTTTTAACGTACTTTGAATCAACATAAACGAAGTCAACTTATAGCGCATATGAGCTTGATCGGTGACGTTGAATGCGAGGCGGTTGTCTACCAAGAAAATCACCATAAAAGAGAGAATATCCATACTCACATCCAAATTGGAAGAACCACGATTTTAAGAGTCTCAAATATCACGTTTTGAAAGTCTTTGTTGGGATCTGCTTGCTTTGGAGTGAACGTTGGCCACAAAGGACTGCCAAACCATGGAGAGCAAACAATGAAACAAATACACGATCTGAGAAAGCAGTCTATCTTCTAGCCATTCCTGCGTGCCTCCATACAACACAACATTTCATGATTAGTGAAAATCAGCATATCAGCAATAACAAAGCCCTAGAGTATGCTGACGGGGCTGAGGGCACACCACTTCCGTCGACCGAGACTGAAGATACGGCAAATGGAAATGAGGGATACGTGCATTACGATGCCCATGAAATAAGCGTTGGCATTTAGTACGTTTGCAAGAGAAATAAAGTGAATAGTATCCAAACGTCGTTCTCGCCGACTTCGATACGGCATTCTTCGACCTTCAGTCGGAAGACGATCAGTACGCTGATAATCCTACGCACTATCTATATGGCCCGAAGCCAAATGAAGGTCCATCCGCACCAGATCACAGATATCCGCCAGTAAGTCCCGACATCCTTTTCCAACATCAATCAGAACTAACATGGGCGAAGGGAGTACGGTGGAACTTCGAAGGTTACACCAGTGAACCTTATCAAAAGCTCACTTCCAAAAGTAGCATCTGGGCCTCGGCCAGATTATATGGCGTCTCGTCATGAACGTCCCAGGAAGAACTGTGGTTCTCAATAACCCTTTTCTCGACAACCACGGCATCCTGGGCCGAATTCTCGTGGATGGCAGACCCTATACTGCGGAAGACCTCGAAGGTCTCCTTTCGGGCAACTCGCCATTCGAGGCGTCGAAGCGGTATACTGATGAGCTCAAGGCTACAGTCAGGAGATGTTTGGCTTATAGCCCGGAGGATAGGCGCACTTCAGAGGAACTGAACGCGATCACGCGTAAACACCTGGAAGCTACGACGAGCAGAAGAGGTAAGACGCGCTCAAAGCCGGAGGACAGGGTAGTCATCAGGCTTCCAGAATATCTGCAAAGATTTGATATTGGAAACGAATTGCTAGCCACTGCTCCAGCAGGAGGCAAAGGAAAGAAGTGATCGAGACATTGACGGAGAGATCATCATGTAGGTATAATGTTTATGCTTTGTATCAGTTTCCTTGTTTGTGAGATTTCGCACTTAATCGAAGGAGTGCGTCTAGCTCGAGCGCACGGTCGTGGTTCGGCTCCTGATGATACAGACCTCTGCCCTTTGCCGTATTCTTGTAACGTGATGATTCACTAACTATATTTGTCTCAGGGGTCTTTACTGATACTACAACAGTATTCGGGATGCGAAAATTAGTCCTGATCAGTCAAGACTTGATCATGTATTATGCTGTCTATCTGACTCCATTGAAATGACGTAAGATGACCTGAATTAGAACTATACGACCTTACAAGGCGTTCAACAAGGTGTTGTAAGCCTGCTTGGCCTGGTAGTTGCTGTCGAACAGCAGAGGTTTGTCGCTGCTGCGCCAGCTGTCCTTGTCCGAAACTCCCCAAACGGTGATGCCGACACACTTAGAAACCTGGAGACATGCGTTCATGACAGTAAGGTAGTCATTTGCGGCGGCACCAGCAATGTCGAGCTCAGTGATAGCGACCTCCTTGACGTTGGCAGCAGCGAGGGTCTTGAGGGCATTGGGAACACCCGAAGCTGGGTTCCAGCCGCCAGGGGCCGCGAGATGAGCTTGCGAGCCGATGCCGTCAATGGGAATACCTTGTGAAATCCACTTGTTGACGTGGGCAACCATACCCTTGGTCACCTTGGCGTAGTTGGCAATGTCGAGGTTGTAGTCGTTGATGTAAAGTTTGGCGTTGGGGTCGGCGGCGCGAGCGGCACGGAAGGCAATGCCAACAAAGTCCTCACCTAGCACACGGCTGAAGACACTGTCTCGGAGGTTTCCATCTTCTGCGAAGATCTAGCAGTCATGTCAGCAACCTTTCTCTGACTAGCCAATGATAAGCCTAGTATTGCAGTTACACACCTCATTCACGACGTCGTACTGAAAGATCTTGCCCTTGTAGCGCGTCACCACGGAAGTCACATGGTTCTGGATGACGGTGGTCAACGTGTTGCGATCACTGATCGAGCTGACCCAGCTCGGCAGCTGTGAGTGCCACAAAAGGGTGTGACCACGGATAAGCTTTCCGTTAGCTGTAGCCCAGTCGATGACCTTATCAGCATTGCCCCACGAGAATGACCCACGGGAAGCTGTGATTTGGTCAGTTTGCGCCCACAAGCGAACCTAAGTGCATAATCACATACGCTCAATCGCATCCCATTTCATGCTGTTCTCGTGTGTGACCTGTCCAAAGCTGTTCTTCGCGATCGTCATCAAAGGGCTGTTGCTAAGGTGGTAGTGGTCGATCTCAGTACCGAAGTACTGCTTGCCCTTGGCCTTGAACTTGTCGTGTAGAGCACCTGCAGCTCCTGAGCCACCTCCAGTATTGCCACCTCCAGTGTTGCCACCACCATTGCCGTTGCCAGGGTTGCTGCTACCCGAGCCTTGGACACATTGTGAGTAGTAGTCACTGCATATAACGTTAGAAGAAATTACATATGGAGATGAATCACGGGCTCTTACTTGATCTTTGAGCACGTTGCACCAGAGACACATGATGTATCACCACCCCAGCCAATACCGCCACCTATTCAGAAAGTTCGTCAATATACTGTTCCGCGCTCGCCAGTCGTGTCGGAGGATAACTTACACTGGCCGTAGAGAGGCACAGCGCCCAGTACAACAGCTGGGCTGCCAATGAGGATAAGAGTAGAAACGCGCACCATGGTGATCAAAAACAGATGTGATAGCAGTCTATCGAGAGCTTGTCAAGCAATGAGGCTGATGAGATATAACGTGTTACCCTCGCTCTTATACTCCGCCTGTCTAGCCACCTGCCAAGATGTGTGGGTAGTTCCAAATCGAAGCTATTCTTAAGCTCTCGAAGGTAAAATGATCAAAAACCAGGTCCCGGGCCATGGTAGATTGCACATGACGAGTTCCCACAAGTAATGAGACGTAGAACCCGTTCACTTCCCGAAGCCAAGCCAAACATTCATCCTAGTTTGCACGTTTTTCATTACCCCAGACCAGATTCAAGCTCTGGGCACTACCTGCCGGCCCCAATACAAGATCATCAGACCTTGCATGTGCCAGATCTGGGGTTGATATCGATCTATGTTGTCGGGTGGAGTACCACAACTGGCCATTCTCGATGGAATTTCAAGGGAAATACCTCGGCGCCTTAAAGAATTAATTACATGGAAATGAGGTAGAATTCATTTAATTTTTGATTTGAATTACCAGGCTCATGACTAGTCTACGAAATATCAATGTTAATCCGCCAATGGTAGCTAGTGAATAGCCTAAACATGTCAAGTAGCGTCGCGCCAAGTTGGTTACACGGAAATCGTTGCCGTGGGGTTTCCGACCCCGTCTTACAAGAACATGAACATTTCTTCCTAACTTATATTTGCTACTATCGGAGTACAGGTCGCTTAGTACATGTGACGGAGTATTGAACACAACGTGCACAGCCACCTCGCGTAGCCTTATGTGTACACTTGATGGTCTAGCCGTTCCACAGGGCTCAAAGACTGAGAGAGATGCGTGCGAAAACAGCAAATCAAAACATCCGTACCTAGAGATATCAGCAAAAATGCTGGAGTCTTACAACAGCCGTAGAATCCTCCTCATAGCGCCGTTACAAATACTTGTAACATCTCTGCTTACGATAACTGTGTACAGTACACATATTCCACCATTTTGCGATCATGTGATGAAAGAGGATCCTGCATGAACTCGGAGAAACACTTGTGATCAAACACGACGATGATAAGATACCTGTAGGGGCTCAGTAAGGATTGACACCTACCCCAGTACCAATGCTCATACACATCTATCGGATTCCTGTAAGGTCTGGTCAGATTCGATCATATTTGGTCTCGTGTGCTAGGCTGCACGTCAAAGTATTGGGACCCAATTTATGCTCGATCTTGTTAGGTTGGGGACTTTGTGAATCTCAATTATCATGCAACCAATGCCTATGCGATAACACCGAAGTGGTGTTATTTATGTCGTTCCAGATGTAAGCGTTTGATTTTTGCACTCGGATGCTCTACAGAGTAGGCGATTGAGGTGCTTTGGCCAAGTTGACCCCACCAAATTTTCGCGCAAAATTTCCTCATCAGCCTCCAATCAGATACCCCGCCGCCGCGAACACTTTTCTAATGTTGCTAGTGTTGCTATCTGATAGCAACCCGATCTTCACAAGCTCATTACGTTTGCGTAGTCATTATTTATCACGTAACGATCGACTTTCTCATCAAATCAGATCTGGCTCGGTGGTGTAGTTGGTTATCACGTCAGTCTAACAAGGCATCGCTTCGCAGCGTGTCTAGCCGCACTGAAGGTCCCGAGTTCAAGCCTCGGCTGAGTCATAAGAGCCGTCGATGGCTTCTCTTTTTGCCATTTTTTGTGTCTTGTGGTGATTGTGCGTCAAGAGGGATCCATGGTGCACCCAGCGGTGTTGAGACGTAATTTTTTGGGTAAAGGTGGGGCACAACTTCTTTTGGCCTCGAAGAACATCACTTGAGCTTCCGGAAGGCCAACTAATTAGTAGCGAGACACAATCGTGGAACTGCAGTGTTGAAAGTACGGCACCCACTCCACGATGCGAGACGGAACAACAGCCACAAATACAGGTATCGCATCAAGTCAAGCATGAGATCCTGGCAAAGTTACACAACAATTCTCCATGAGTAGGAATGCATTGTGGCTTATATTCTAATATTCTAACAGCCAAGTGCAGTGATGCTGATGGTTGACCAATTAATTCCCTAATGAAAGCGCAGACAGCAACGAAGCTGTTATAGCATATCCCGACCTAACTCCCATGGAGCACGTTGAAGTCGCAATTACATCATCTCAAGGATATGAATTGACATGTAGGGCACTACCCATAAGCTTGTGGATGATTCAGCAGAAGATTCAATCGGTATCATCGTGAATGGTAGAGGGACAAGGCAGCTTGTTGGATTCTGAATACCGGTATGACCCCATTGCATACGTTAGCTCGTGGTATGTCAAACGCAAAATGTGTATGCGATGCGGCACCTCCAAAATACAGCATCTAGATCACGTTGCCAGACAACGCAAGCGATGGAGCTCTTCCGCTAGGCAATTGAATGAATCGTCGTCCGCACGAGGGGAGACGGATAGCGTTGATTCGGAGACCGCCTCGTTTCTTGTTTGGGTGGAGACAGGAGCTACCCTTGTAGGAGAAACAAAGGCGGAACCTGCACCTAGCTCTGGAACGGCCTCTTGGGCAGCCACCAGATCCAGCGAGCTCACATATTATTACCTTAAGCTAGGTGTACCACAATACGGAGATGAAGTTGCGCAAGCGGCCAACGCCCGCAACCTTGTGCGCTAGCGTCCCCATGTTGAGCTTAACCACAAATTCTGTTACTATTGCAAGACGTCTTGGCGATCTCAGCCCTTCCAAATACTGAGGGGCCACGAAGGAACGACAGTCTTGGGGACAGTCTTGGAGACAGTCTTGGAGACAGTCTTGGACTTTGTGGGGAAGACATCTGATCGGTGGGGACATCTCTCGGCACGAAAATTGAGTTTGGTGACCTGCGCAGTCAAATTATGGAATGGAAACCAAAGAAAGTATTGGGGTTTCGAAGACAAGACTGTGAGAAGCTGGCGAGTCGTGCAGATACCCAGGTCATCAATTCAGGAGTGAGTGGCATCGGAGAATAGGCCCGACTGAGCAGGAGCGCACGACACTCCCGCCTCGGCTTGCTCACAACAGCCAACTTCACCAACGGGGCCGTCTGCATCGGCCCCCATACGAATGTACCAACGTTATTCAGGGCCCCTCGTCGCGTAGAAGGCGAGCTATACTGGGATATCTTCGATCATCAAGCTGAATGCCAATTGAAGGGGGCCGCTGAGACAGGCCTCACGCAGGCCTGCGTCAGCCTCTCGCGTGGGTTGACCCTCCACGACATGCATTGCTTCTCGAGCTTAGGCCTGAGAGACCGCGAACAACGAGTTCTGCGCAAAGAACCAGCGATCTCTCCCCAAGCCAAGCAAATACTCGTCGCACCTCTGTTGGAGGGCTTATCCTAATGGGGGCACGCTAGCGCCGATTTGAGCCTGAATGCCTAAAAGCAAACCTCACCTCTAACAACAACAAGCGTTTCCTAAGCCGCAATCCTGGACTATATTCTGTGATAGCGTCGGGAGGGTCCACTCGATCAATACCTAATCGTCACGACAAAGCTTGGCCTCCAGAAGCGCTATGCACAGAAAGCTGTCACCCTGGAACACCGAGCCCCAGACGAACGCTGTGGAGAAACGTCGCCAAGGGCAGGAGTCGCGTCTCTGTACGCACGCGCCGTGGAGGCTACGGTGATCGATCCTTTTCAAGGGGAAATCAATGTTGGACCGACTCGCCACTGAAAGTACCGTTCTTGGCAAGTCAAGCGTCACAAGCAGCCGTCAGGGCTCGTTCGCCCAGCTTGTCGATGCTTTGACACTTCGTTTTCTACCAGTTGTGCTTCAGAGAAAAATTGTCTCCCACGACCACGACGACAGCCAGAAATTGCAAGCTAGAATGGAAATGATCACGACACGTGGTCTCTCATTAGTCTGATGACTATGTAGGTAATATCTCCTCTGCGGGTCAACGCTTCCCCGATGATCTGGGGCTCGCAGTGACTAGTGAAATGATCAACGACAACGAAGCCCAGATGAACCGTGTGAGTCCGCGGGCCTTCGAAGCATCAGCCAGACACCGACCTCTGGGCCAGGTCGCGTCTCCACTTCGTGTAGCACGTCTCCTCCGCACCTGGTAGTGGACCATGCTTATCTCTCCTTGGCTCCGCGTCATAAAAGTTTCGCGCAGGCCTCGACTGGCGGGATGCTCTTGGCGGCCATACCGAGGAAGTGCCAGGTCTGCCATGCTATGCTTGCAGGTACTTGGCGCGGCTTCAAAGAAGTTTCAACCTCACTCAAAACAGTGGGCCACTCTTGGCGACTCACGATACCTAGGTCCTAGTATCAACGCCTCCAATGTGGGACGGATTGCTATAAGAAGAGTATCAGCCCACTTGTTCGATTCTCCAGTCCGGTCACTCACTTCACTTCGATACCTACCTTGCTACGTTCAGTCCCGGTGACTCCTTTCAACGTTCACTTAATCATCATCTTTGTTCTTGGAATCTAATTCTACTCTACTATAATCCCCAAACACCCGTTTACTCAACAACCCCCATAACACCATCAAGATGCTTCCTCAGCACGTACTCTTCGCGCTTGTCGCCACCGTCGCCGCCGTCCCACTTAACATCAACTTGGGAGCCTACTCGCCTGCCCTGGTAGTCGGTGATGGTGAAATTGCGATCGGAGAAGCCAAATCAGCCTCTGAATTGATGGCTACCCTGTCCTCAGGCGCCGCAGCCGCAGGAGGCGCAGAAGGAGGAGCAGCAGCACCAGGTCAGCAAAGAGAAGCAGTCGCCGAAGCACCGGCCGAAGCGGCTGCAGTTGAAACTCAAGAACAACCAACTGAGGGTGAAGCAGCCAAACGCGCACCCAACCTCCGCCGCGCCGTCAACGACTTCCTTAGCAAGCGTGCCCCCGAGCAATCAGACAAGCTCGCCGCTGTTGAGGGCGCTATGCAGTGGATCAAGCGTGATCTCCAGGGCTTTAACGCCGCTCTCTCGTACGCCCGCGAGGCCATGAAGGACCAGCCCAAGGTCGAGCTTGGCTCGCCCAACGCCGGCATTGGTATTGTCGTCAACCCCGGTGTCAACGTTCCCCAGGGCTCCGCCGCCGCCGGTGCGCCTGCTGCTGCCGAGAAAGTCAAGCGTGACGAGGTCGCTGATGAGGCCGAGAGCCCGAAGATGACCCTTGTTGCTATCACTGAGGTTTAAGCAACTATAGCAAGAGGCGGACATTTTCCCTTTCGTAACCATTTATCAAGATATCAGGGCGCGCTTGGAGCTTTCAGGAGTTGCAAAAACTAGAGTCTATTTTGTTTTCTTGTCGAAGGTGGACGGCACTTGTGGAGGGCTTCGAACACCGCTGCTTTGCGCGAAGATGTGTGGGTAGGCGTTTCGCAACGCTCGACATCACTGCTTCGCGGAGAGAGGTGCGGGTAGTTGTCCAGTGCCACTTTGGGCTGACACAAGCGAGCAGACGGTGTGTTGAAGTACGATATATTCCAATGAACAAGCAATGTGAACGAAAATCAATGCCCCCTGCAAATGTGATGTTCATCATTGACCCCTATCATTGACTTGTTCCTGACTAGATTCTAGTCTCCACATTCGAGCAAAAAGGCCACGAGCAAAAATATCACTGACTTCAAGATTCGCAATTTCGGACTTGTTGAGATTCCTGGCCTCCACCCCGTACTAACACCCAATGCGATCGTCCAACAGTTCTATGCCCACACAGTAGCGAAGTCCGCATTAAGCCTCAGCCAAGTCGCAGCAAAGTCTCAGCGACGTCTTATGAGCCTTGGCAAAGCTTCCGGGATCCTCGCGGAGGATGAAACAAATCCTGTAGAGGCGGAGGAGGCTCGAGCGCGCCGCGCTGTCACATGGTCCGAACACCAACTAAGCTCAGGGGTTTCCGAACCGCCCAGATCTTTTCGGCAATCCGCATTCTGTTGGCTTTTGACTTCCTCGCTTTGAAATTTTGCGCGTAGTTGAGTTCACAGTATGGGCTATGCAATTAGGTATGTGCGATTGATAGCTGAACTCGAACAAACACCCACGTCATCAACACACGCGGCATAGTACTTCCAGATTCCATGCGACAAGCAATGTCTTGGATCCTGGCATCGAACGCCCAAGACTTTATGGCCTGATTCTTGCGTGCGCGAAAAGCTTGAGGTATTTCCGTCCTGATGGTTCAGGCATTGGCTTTGTAGGCTGGGCATCTGTTCTAGGTAAGTGAGCACGCGACAGAATTGACGTGGGATGAAGTTGCGCGTCGTCGTCATCGACGTGGGGATTGGGCTCTTGGGCGAGAAGATAGGTGAGACAGTAGGAGGTCCGTAGGTAAGGACTCCGGTAGCGACGGAATATGAGCAGCTTGTCGCACACGATGAGAAGTAACTGCCACTGGGACATCATATCAGTTCACTCATGTCTTTCAAGGTTTATAAATGTGTTCACACGACAAGAAATGTTCTTAGCTGTACCTCGCGAACGTTCATTGCTGTCAGGTGGCGAACCAAATCCTGGTACGCAAGGCCCTGATTGAGTACGGTGAAATCAAAGCTTCCCATTTCCACCACGTAGCTCTCGCTCAAAACTAGCCTCGATATGTCCAATCTTCTTCTCACTTGTGATGTTGTCTGTCTCTTCACGTAAGAATTTCACACAACGCATACGAATTAGCGTACTTCACGATAGAT